TTCGTGATGGCCCTTGGGTAGAAATCTTTCGTCTTCCAATTGGGAAACGTGCTTTTTACATAACTTGGTGGATTCAGGCTGGCATGGAATCCTATAATCCCTCTCGGCAATTCCAGGTCAAGCCTCACTCTTCTCCATGGTTTACCTCATATTGTGCTGCAGCAATTGCCAATCAAAACTATTACTTTCACATCTATCAGCCAAACAAATCTCCAGAAAACAGATATCTCTTTATTTCTGATAAGAACCAATGTAAAACGGTTTTGTCTAACACTAAAGCCCGCTATTTTCAGATCATGAAATCTCACTTTTCGTCACAAATATTAGGCCCTCGTGACTTCTGGAGAATCTTTAACAGTATTAATAATTAGGGCATGTCTGTAATTCCACCTCTTTTTTATGGTTCAGACTTTGTCACCACATCTAAAGACAAAACTAAATTGTTTGCTAAGAACTTTTCATCAAATATCATCTCTTTATTCCACTAGTTTCGTTCTACCTTATAAGACCTTCAACAGGTTGATCCATCGCTCGACATTTATAGTACTCCAGCTTCTGTATCTAAAGTGATTTCCTGCGAAAACTCTTCTACAGCTTGCGGCCCGGACAACATACCTGTTATAGTCTAGCAGAAGTGTTCTCCGGAGCAGTCGTCTATCCTTTCCAAACAATTCAACAAGTGCTTATCAGAGTCTTGTTTTCCAGCCTGCAGGAAAGCAGCATCTGTTATCCCTATTTTTAAAAATTCTGGAGAGCCGTCCGGTTCATCAAACTACCATCCTATTAGTCTTCTTCCTATCATAAGCAAAGTTTTCGAATCTTTAATAAAAAAACACTTAATCCCTCATCTTGAATCTAACAACTTACTTTCTGATCATCCATATGGATTTTGATCTTCTCATTTTACGGCTGATTTGCTAACAGTAATAACTGAAAGGTTTTATTGCGTATTAAGTAAAGGGGGAGAGGTAAAGGTCATCGCTTTTGACATTCCTAAAGCATTTGATAAAGTTTGGCATGGTAGTCTTCTCCATAAGCTTTCTTCTTATTTTTATCTGGAAACATCTGTACGATTATTGAATCCTTCCTTTCTAATTGTAGTATAAAAGTTGTCCTTGATTGACAGCACTAATTTTCTTATTTTGTTACCTCTGGGGTTCCTTAAGGTTTAATCCTTGGCCCTATACTCTTTTTAATTTACGTTAATGATGTTCTAAATATTCTCACATCTAAGGTGTAATTGTTCGCCAATGATACTGCTATTTATTCTTGTTACGATTAAAAGCGAACTCCCTCTGATTGCTTATAGGGGATCACAATTCTGCTACAGCATGAGGCTCACAGTGGCTGGTGAACTTTAATTCAGATAAAACTCAATTTTTTTTAGCCATTCCTTATCGCAATAGTTTCGACCTTTCTATATTTATGAACGGTAATGTACTCAATGAGTCATCTACCCTTAATCTAGAATTAACTCTTGCTTCTGATCTTTTTTGGAAACCTTATATTAAATCCGTTGCAAAATTAACATTTGTTAAAGTTGCATCTCTTTATCGAGCTCGAACACTTTCTTACTTTGTATTCTATTCTCTATCTCTATAAATCTCAAATTCAGATTTGGATGGAATACTTTTGCCGTCTGGGGGACTACTGTTGCCTTTTTGGGGCGGATCTTCTAATTATGCCCTTTCTCTTTTAGACAAGGTGCAAAAACGCATTGTAAACATAGTTGGACCTGCTCTTGTAGCCAACCTTCAACCTTTTTCATATCGCCGTAATGTTACTTCTCTTTCACGGAAATGTTTGTGTTAGTCACATTTTTGATTCTGTTTTGTGTAAGTTTTATGCTAAAATGTTTAGTGGTCTTAGTTTTTAAAAATTTATATCAACTTAAATATTTATAAAGAACTTTTACACTGCGTTGATTTTTTTCTGTAGTTGCTGATGTTTTTATTGACTTTACCGTTGTTAAGTTAATAAAAACGTTAGTTGATTAAGTTTTATGCTGACTTTTAAATCTGTACCCGTCTCAGGAGATAATAGAATGAGTTGCCTAGTCATGCAAACAGAGACACAAACAAAATCCATGATAATGGTAGGAGATTGGCTGCATAAGCAGGTCCAACTATGTTTACAATACGGTTATGCACTTTGTCTATTAGAGAAAAAGCATTATTAAAAGATCCACCTCAAATGCGGCAACAGTATTCCATAAATAGAAAGATTTTAGATTTATACAGATAAAAAATAGAATCCGGAGTGAGACAGTAAGATAAAGAGATACAACCTTAGCAGATACTAATTTTGCAATGGATTTGATATACTGTTTCCTTAAAAGATTAGAAGAAAGAGTTAATCCTAGAAGATGAAGGGTAGATGATTTATTGAGTGCATTACCGATCATATATGTAGTATCTAAATTATGACGATAATAATTGGCTGAAAAAAAATTGTGTTTCATCTAAATTAAAGTTCACCAGCCACTGTGAGCCCCATGCTGTTGTGGAAGTGAGATCCTTTACATGCTTGGATACCCCCTCAAAGCAATCAGAGAGCGTTGGTCTCATATCATGACAAGAATAAAAGGTAGTATCATCAGCGAACAATGCCACCTTTATTGTGAGAATATCTGGAAGATCGATAATTTAAATTAAAAAGAGTATAGGGGCAAGGACTGATTTTTGAGGAACTCTTTAAGTAGCAGAATATGAAGAAGAGATGTCCATCTAGGAGAACTTTGATACAACTTTTGGAAAGAAAGGTCTCAATAACCATAAAGATGTTGCCAGATACACTATGAGAAGAAAGCTTATTGAGAAGACCATGCTAAACTTTATTAAAAGCTTAAGAAATGTCAGGAGGAATAGTCTTAACCCTTCCACCTTTATCTAATGCACAATAAAACATATAGGTTATTACTGTTAGCAAATTAGCTGAGAAACTAATTTGCTAACAGTAAATCGAAAAATCCATATTTATAATCAAAAAGTAAATTTTCATTTTTTTTTAAATCAGAAAATCGAAATCCATATTTATAATCAGAAAATAATTTTTTATATTCAAGAAAAGAGATTAGGTGTTTGTTAATTAAAGATCTAAAAACCTTGCTTATGATAGGAAGAAGACTTATGGGATTATACTTAGATGAGTCAGATCTCTCCAGACAAATTTTAAAATTGGGGATAAAGGCTTAAAGGATAAAGGCCGCTTTCTAGCCCAAAAACAAGACTCTGATAATTATTTTTTTAAATAGTTTTAAAAGTATGGATGACAGCATGAGAGAATACTTTTGCAAGATTACAACAGGTATGTTGTTTGACCCATAATCTGTAGAAGATTCTCAGCAGGAAATCACTTTAGATACAGAATAAGATTGTCAAACTATTTCAGTTAGAATGCAACTAGTGGAATCAAAAGATGATAATGATGAAAAGTTCCTAGCAAACAATTCAGCTTTTTCTTTAGGTAACAAAGTCTAAACCATACAAGAGAGGTGGAATAAAAGACTTTTCCTTATTATTGATACTGTTAAGGGTTCTGAAGAAGTCACGAGAGCTTAACTTTTATTATAAAATATGAGATTTTGTAGCCTATAAATAGCCGGCTTTGGCGTTAGACAAAACCTCTTTACAATGGTTTTCTAGCAATTGTTAACAGACATCTGTTTTCTGGAGAATTATTTTGCTGATAATGTGAAAGTAAGTGGTACAAGGTGAGGAAAAATACGGAAAAGAGTGAAGCTTGATTTGTAATTGCGTAGAGGGAATATAATATTTTATGGCAGCAAATCCACAAAGTTAAGCACATTTGTCAGTAGGAAGACTATAGATTTCTACCCAAGGGCCATCACAAAGAAAATCTTGGAAAGAGTTCAAGTCACCTTTGAACTTTTGTAAGAAGTATGATGATAGAGGGATTCTGATGAAGAAGAAGAATGGGATAATATATTTAGAGAGATTAGTCCGTGATCAGATGCAACGAAGGGTGAATGTGGAAAAACTGAGCACTGGCTAGGATCAGAAATAAGTCATAAGTTGAGTAGTGAAAGTAAATGATTTAAGTTGTTTGGAAAACAAGTTAGAAAGTCGAGTATTTGAGTTTGAGAGATTGAAAAAAGCAAAAAATGTGGGCCTTAACGCTTGCACAGTAACTGACAACAACAACGATATTGGTTGATGGATAAAAAGAGGCTTGGTCAATTTGATCAGAAATAACATCTAAAAGAGTGCAGTCTTGAGATGAAAGAGAGCAATATAGAACAAGGAGAAAAGCAATACAGTGAAGTGGTGCTATATAAAAGCACATAAAAGAATAGTCTGTAGACTTAAACCTAGTGTCCCGAAAAATGGGTGAACTCTTACGAATGTAAATGCCTAGGCCAAGCATGTGACTATTGGAGTCTTTACAAATTAGATGAAGATAACCATCAACACTGAGATCACAAGATGAGACAGCTGAACTCAAATTAGTCTCACAAAGAGCCAGAAGGTCTGGTGAACTTTGCAAGCGATAAGACTCAACAGAAGAAAAGTTACTTCAAAGACCATGAATATTAGTGAATGATAGGTTTAGAGAACTTGATGAGAGCAATGGTTTTTTGTATTTTATAGTTTTTGGTACTTTATTCATTTATAAATTATCAGGAGCTATTCCAGGAAACGAATTTAGGTGCCGGTACCCCCTACTGGTACCTAACTGCTCTTATTTAAAGGACCATAGATGTTTTTTTTAACTTTTTAAATCTATAAGATATGTATATTTATATTTAAACATTCCTTAAAATAAAAAGCTGCATATTTCTGATAAATAAAATATGATGGTAATTTATAACATGTTTTAGTTAAACTTAAAAAAAATAATTGTTATAATTAAACTAAATGCTAAAAAACGATATAAGATATTAGATACAGTAAGTATAAAAAAATAAGAATAAAGGAACAAATAAGATAAAAGTTTAAACTAAATAAAAAAAAAGTTTAAAACAAATAAATATCACTTACTCCTTCCATGAATTCCATTTTAATAGAGATTGTTGTGCTAGTAAAAGAAGCGCCATAGTATTTCACAATTCGTTCATGATTTAATCTTTTAAAAAGTGAAATTTCATGATTAAATTTTTCCGCTGCTTCTTTTGCTTTAACATTATTAACAATGTTTCCAATATCAATACATTTTAAAGCTATTTTTTTGTGTGCATTTTTATCTGAGCGAACATAGATCTAAAGAAAAAACAAATTTTTTATTAGATACATTCTTTTCACTAACATAATCTCCCTTTTTTAAATATATTAAGAACATTCTATTTTAACTTTTGTAATGTTTTAATATTATTTTTATTATTTTTTTATTATTCCTTGTTGTTTTATGTTCTTAGATGAGTATTTGACTTTATGAAAATCCCGGAAAATTTTTTTTCTATGAAAATCCCGGAAAATCCCGAAAAATTGTTTTATTAAAAATTGATTGCATTTAACTGACAAACGGAATTTAGATTATTTAAATTTTTACAAAAAGAAATTTCTAATATTTTAAAAAGTTTGAATGAATTATAAAGCAAAAAAAATGAAGAAAAAAATTGTTACGAAAATCAATTTCGTGAAAATTTTAATTATAGAAAACATATTTTTTTTTTAATGCAAAAGTTGTCGTATTAAAAATTTTTTGTAAAACTATATTAATTTTTTTTCAAATTAATATCAAAAAATATCCGGATATTCCTGGAAAAATTGAAGCTGTTTTATGTGAATTTCCGGAATTCCTGGAATTTCCATAAAAAACTCATCTATGTATGTTTGTTTAATTGCCCTAATTGTTAAGAAATAGTTTCAGCAGAGTGTACATACATTAACTAAAAGGTTTTTTTTACTTCTTTCACATCTGAATAAAGGTTTTTTCGAAAAACTACAAATTGATTATGATATATATTTATTCTAATATGCATATTTTTTCCTTTTAATTGCTTTTATTTTAAGTATAAATTAAAAAAAAAAACATAAAACTTATTTATGTTAATTTCGATTTGAAATAACAAATATAAAAAACAATATTTTTGTCAATTTAAACCATAATGAAGTGTCCACAACTGAAAATAACTTTGTGTCAGTAACTAAAAACGTATTGTTTTGAGCCTTGAGAATGTCAAGAAAAATGATTCTGCCTCACACTAATATGACCTAAGTCAGTTGTAAACTATTCAAATAATGTTAGATATTAATTGGTAAATTCTTTGAACTATTCATACTTTTAATGTTAATTTGACAGATGGGTTAATACTTTCAATTTTATGGCTTTTTTCTAAAAGGGTATAAGTAAGGGTTTGACAACTTTAAATTGTGGAAAACTATTTATTATGCAACAGACCGACTATAACTTGTATTACGGGATGCTTTCTGCTAGTATTAAATGAAACCTAATATATATTCTTCAACTTTGCAATGCAATGTTATTCCCTTTATACAATAAAAGTTATTATTATTTAGATTACTCTCATTTAATGTATTGAACAAAAAATGTGTTCTTAATTTACTAAAGATAAAGAAAAAATTAAATATTTCTCTAAACTTTTAAAATTCTTATATTTTCAAAAGTTGTCAAAAATGAAAAACTCCTGTTACTTATAATTCTACAGTATTTTATAAAAAAATGTTTATTTAAATAAATTGTTTTTATTTTTTATTCACTTTTTTATAAATAAGTGTACCAAGTGTAGCAATTGCTATAGCCAGCTCAGGTTTTTTTTTTTTTTTTCTTTTAACATACATTTTTTCATGCAAAAGGGAAAAATGATTTAAATAAGATATGGAGGTTAAACGTAGTCAAAATGCGGCGCTTTAAAAATTTATTTAAAATCGTAGCTGAGCCAACTTGACTATGCTACGAAAATAATTCATTTTGAAAAATGAAATTCTTCACTGAAAAACCCACGTTTTTAACAGGTTTTGTCTCACATGCCCATAAAATTCTGAAAGAATGTCAAACATTTCACAGCGTACCAACTTATATTTAACTAGGAGTTAAAAAAAAATAATAATGTAAGTACTTGAAGATCAGTTACTGAAGTTATTTGATGAAAGACAAACAAAATTATTAGACAATGCTGATAATATAGTATGTTAAATAGAAGAACTTTAAGAAAAGAACAAGGCATGATTTCAGCTAGTGAGACTCTATGCTAGCTAGTGAGACTCTATATTTGCTAAGACTCTATGTTTGTGAGCTAGTGAGACTCTATGTTTGCACCAGCTGAAAATTTGAGCTCTGTTATGAATGTTAGAAAACCCTAACTAAATTATTAGAAAAGTTTAAACAAGCAAACAAAAATCATAGTTAAATTTAGAAAGTGATTCAAAACTAAAAATACTTACGCTTCTAAAACCTTTTAAAATCAATGAGAAAATCAGCGCGTTATAAGTTTTTCAATCAATTAAGGTTAGCAGTGAACTCAAACATTGTTTACTTCAACTTTACTTTAGTTTAAGTTTTTCTTTTATATAAACTAAAGAATTAATTCAAAATTGTAATGTAAGAGGAGGAAATTCTATGAATAAAATAACGAGGGGATGTGATAGGTAGCCGTAGGTGAAGTGTAAATATATTGATGAGGGTTTTGACTTGGTCAGTCAATCTTTTTTATTAAAGTTACCGCTGAACGTTTATTTTATTTACCGACATATTGTTTATATATTTAGAATGAAAATTTAATTATAATTAATATATATGTAATTTTTATTAATTTTTACTTTTTAAAGCTACATTTTTTTTTTTTGTCAATTTCATTATAAAAAAGCTTAACTTTATACACCTTTTAACGCGCAAAATATCTTTTAAAATATCTTTATTTGAAAAAACATTCAGTAAAGGTGGTAAATTAACCTTAATGTCCTAATTTACTAATTTATTGTAATCGTTGGCTCCAATATTTAGTGTTGAAAGAAGTTTAAAATGTCTATTTTATTTCTTAGAATATTTGGATGTGAGTATCCTTTGTATAGCTGCAGTTTTAACTTCTTTTCGAAAATATTGAAGAGATCTCTAAATTTTTAAAATTCTTATATTTTCAAAAATTGTCAAAAATGGTAAACTCTGTTACGTATAATTTTACAGTATTTTATGAAAAAACGTTTATTGCAACAAATGTTTACCATTGCAAATAATATATTCTCAGTGTTGGCAAAATATTGACTTTGCTTTAAAACTTGCAGTATTCCTTTTTTGTTTAACAAACGTATCCTATTCCATCACCGGCACATTAAAAGTACATCTGCATTTCTCTCATTCTACTCCAGAATCATATATATCATCATAATATCATAATCATCATCATCATCTCACCATCACTATCATCAGCATCATCATCATCATCAGCATCATTGTACAAACATATATCAAACATTTATCAAAAACTTTAAATTTGGCATAAAAATATTGTTTTTTTTAAAACGTTTTATTTAAATTGGCTGCTTTTTTTATTAATCTACATACTTTTGAGAAAATTCCTTTTGTTTTGATTGTTGGAAAACTAATTTTCTATTTCTGTAGTAACTAAATGGATCAAAAAGTATCAAAGTTTCCAAGTTTTTAATTAATTAAGTTTCAAAGCAAGTTCGGATTATATAAGTTTGAAACTTCATTCTTTTATTAAGTCTGTTGAGTGAGATTTTTTAAAATAAAAACTAATAAATTAAAAAAAAAACTCCTTTACAATAAAAACCTTTTTTAAATCATTCTTTTCTTAACTTATTAAAAAAATCCTTTTTTAATAAGTTAAAAAAAAGAGGTTGTTTGTTTTTAAGTTTATCTTTCATTTATTTTCTCGTAAATTACAATTTATTTTCTTTTCTTCAGTTAAAAAAATGATTTTTTATAAAATTTGCAGTTTAGTTTTTTCAGAACATTTTTAAAACTCTTAAGTTTTCGAAACTATTAAAATCATAAAAATTATCAAAAGTATATTAGTGATTAATTACACCATATAATCTAAATGAATGTATATATATATATATATATATATATATATATATATATATATATATATATATATATATATATATATATATATATATATATATATATATATATATATATATATATATATATATATATATATATATATATATATATATATATATATATATATATATATATATATATATATATATATATATATATATATATATATATATGTATATATATATATATATATATATGTATATATATATATATATATATATATATATATATATATATATATATATATATATATATATATATATGTATATATGTATATATACATACATTTAGATAATATGGTTATACTATATATATATATACATTTAGATAATATATAACAAATATAGTTGCTAAAAATAATTTAACTAAATGTTTTCAAAATTTACTGCAATTTGTACAAATTGTTCCAATTTACTTAATACAATCAATCAATCAAACTTATTGTACTATTAACTATATAAAATTCAGCAAAATCTGAGATAGTGATATTTTAAAAAAAAATCACGGTCAACATGGAATTACAAAAATGTGCTGAAAAAACTAAGCTGAAAAAATTAGAAAAATGCTATTCTTTAACTGAAAAAAAAAAAAAAAAAAAAAAATCTTAACTAATGAGAAAATAAATAAAAGATTAACTTAAAAAAAAAAACCTCTTTTTTTAACTTTGATTTAAAAAAAAATTTTATTGTGAAGAAATTTGTTTTTTTTTTAATTTTTTCAATTTTAATTTTAAAAAATCTCACTTAACAGACTTAATAAAAGATTGAAGTTTCAAACTTATTTAATCCAAACTTTATTGCTTTGAAACTTAATTATTTAAAAGCTTGGAAACTTTGATATTTTCTGATCTATTCAAAAGATTTAAACCTGTATCAAATACTATAATTACAGGCTTGTCTCATATAAAGCAGTTAATGTAATATTAGTGTAGTGGTAGAGCGCTTACTTCATAAGGAAGAAGCTCCAAGCTTGATTCCCACCATGTCAGTGGTAATACCAAGCTAGTAGTTTCTGCATAGTGGACTTGTAAAATAACCTTCTTAAATAAGTATTAAAGAAACCTTCTCAAATGTAGTGGTCTTCTCAGACGTGAATAGTCAAAAAAACAAAAAAAAAAACACTATTTAAAAGTTACTTTAAATTTTTAGATTTAAGCTATTAGTTAAGACGCGTTTAAATAAAAAAAAAATATTATTATTTATACACTTTC